GGGGGGGGGGTTATGCATTGCTTAATTTGCATCTTTTTCACAATCATCTGAAATATGCTGAAGTCTAACGCAGCACAGTTTTAGATTTTACAGTGTGTGTTTTTTAGCGTTTTGCATATTCGAATGAAAAAACCAGGAATCAAATTAAAAAAAAAAAGCTCTCCACAGTTCACTTCAAATAAGACAGGTGCACTTGGAAACAGATCGAATGATAGCACATGCAAATAGTCTCAAGACATTTGCCAGCTCCTGCTTGCAAGGATCGCTTAGATGCAAACTAAAGATGTAAACTCCCTTTCGAAGGTTACTTGCAAGCAAGCTGACAGCGGACTTCGACTCCTTATCACATGCTAGTGCCAGTCAAATTTAACGAATGAACAAATCGTAGAGAGATTAGCTGTCCTAGCTATTTATTTTAAATTTCGAATATGTTAGACTGTCTTGTTTTTGAAACAGTTAGGCTGTGATGTGTTCGTAGTCGCTTGCAGCCGAACCAACTGGACCACTTGGATCTTCAAATCCAATGTGATCTCTTACTGCAGCAGTACATATAAAAAAAAAAAATTTGTTTTGTAAAAAAGCTAGAAAATGGTGCGTGAAGGCCATATACTCGAAACGATATGTTGCCTGATCAAGCTGCACGATATATTTTTCAAACAACTTGGGATGCGCAGTTGGGATTTTACGGCGTAATCTGCGCTCTCGGTTTGTTTTCATCGATGTTTGCCCTCGTCCCTCCTCGCGCTCAACCACTTGCCGAGTGTAACCGCATTGACCTCTTTTCTCTGCCCTGACCATTGTCCGGCGTAACATCTTATTCCAAGCGGCTGTTCGGACGGTTGTTTCCTTCCTCCTGGATACACTCATTTGCTGCACTTCCGAAAGCAGCATTAAACTAACTTTCTGTAAAACGTTTTTTGAGCCATATCTCTTTCTCGTAAATACCCCTAATTGATGCAACACCACCAGTTGTCGAAAAGGCGAACATCGTGTCCTAGCCAACCAACAATTCCCTCTTGCGCGGTCGCATTGAAGACTGTAACTGCTTATGATTACAAGACACTCTAATCATCCTTCGTTCCACCGCTTTTTCTGTCAGAGCTGGTGTTCGCTCTTCAGCTTTCGTAAGTGACTACGTTTCGCGTTCGCCCGTCACTGTTTCCACAACACTGATGCGGCTGCGATCTTTCCAGCTGGGCACTTTGCGACCGCCGCCGATGCTGTCGCCTGTATTTAGTTTGTTGCTTGTTCTCGAATTTATCTCAAAAAGCTAACAACAATTTCAAGAAACTGACTGCGGGAACTGAGTTTAGCCGAGATCTGCCTAAAAAAAAAAACTATCGCCTAAATTCAGTTTTATATTTTTTTTTTTTTGTCAAGCCATCCAATTGCCAGTGGGCTAAGCCAAGAATGCTGAGCACAGCTGCACTTAGCATTCGGATGCGTCTCGGCGATATTAAGCGCTCTGTGTAGAACCTGAATGCTATTGTCGCGGCTTAATTAGCCAGTGATGTAAAGCAGAAGTTTTTTTTTTCCTTTTTTTTGGAGAAGTGCCTATGGGAAGAATTTCTGGATGGGACAAGAAACTTCCAACATTTTTTCAGTAATGATCAAAAGTCGGAAAAAAAAGCAGTGAAAACTTAGTACTGGAAAATAAAAATAAAGGTACCTATCCCTCCTAGGGGACAGGGTTTGGGAAAGCGTTGGAGAAAGCTGCGAAGTTCAGCACAGTAAGCTGCCTGTTTGATGGAACACCGGAAATGGAAAAATTTTGTAGCGCGGTTGATTGCGTCCCAGGCGTTTCAGTTCTCGCACAATTGCCGATCGATCAACAAGCACTCGCGGGTGCTGTCCTTTCCCTCACCCGTTTCTCCTGGATCAGTCCAGCACTGGCGTTATCATTAATTTTTCCCACTTTCCAACAAACAGCTGTAGCCTGCTTGCCTGTCTGTTCGTCTGCCTGACTGTGTTCGGGCATATGCTTGTTTTGTTAATTTGTCTATTAGCAGGTGGCCAAATTTACACGTTTTTATGCGTTTTTTGCAGCAGTGCAATGCAAACCCAGGCTGGAACGCACCAGGCTGGCCCGTGCGATCATGCGTTTTTGCACAGGACTTGAAGT